TTTTTTATTTTATATCTTTTTGTAAAGAAAAAACTAATTTTTTTTTCTTAATAGTCTTATGAACGTGGACTTGGCGCGATTTTTTTACAGTGAAACTGTTTTTGTTCGGATTTTAGTATTTTTTGTAATTATAATAAAAATTTACAATTGGTACCAACTTAAATCTCGCGTTGGCTGCATTTTTTTATAGCAAACTATTCCCTTGAAGCTACAGTTTATGTAAAAATAATTCCAGTACACCCTGGTGGGTGTAGATGCAAGCTGTGAAATATCTTTTTTTAACTGTAGTTTCCCATCTAATGAATGATTACTATGCATTCTCGAATTATTTAGTCTGTGGCAGATCACTTTGCCCATCGAAAAAAAGTCAGGATCGAAATTTTTGCGTTGCTATAGTTTGTGCTGATTAAATTTATTAATTTCAAGTAGATTAATTGTTATATGTGAATATAATTAATTAATAACAGTAAAATAAAGTATGTAAGAATTACTGTTATAATATACAATTTAGGAAAAAAAAAGTACCGTAGAATTAAATAAAATTTTGCAACCTCAAAATACCGTTCTGCTTACAGTAAACACAGTCGGTAGTCTGGCGCTCCGTTGACAACGGATTTGAACGGAACTTGGCGCCAGATTCTACCGAATCTGTGGATCAGCTTCAACATAAAGTTTTCAGAAATGAGCTTTTTTTTGTCAGTCAAAAGTTATTTACGGTTAAAGTTACAAAACTTGCAATTTAAAAAATTTTGAAAATTTTAAATGGCCCCCATTTCTAAACTAATTGATCGATTTTGTTCATCTTCGAACTCGACCTAAGTAATTACCCAAAGAATATATGTATCAAGTTTGATCAAGATCGGTTGAAAACTTTTCGAGATATCCTGATAACGAGGCTGGTTATATTACATACATATCGACGTTCTAATTAGCAAATTGTCTAACTCCATTTTAGAGAATCTTCTATTTGTACGAAAAAAACAATTAGTCCAAAATTTATTATCACTTTAAAAAACCATTTAATTTCATTAATGTCTAAAAGAGATATAATATTTAGGTTTGAATCATTCAAATAATTTATAATTGGATTATTGCTACATCAAAATGTTAAAAAATCACCCTCTAAAAAATAAGGAGTTAGACAAATTGCTAATTAGACCGTCGATATATAAATTTTTTAACCAATGGTATTTTTGAAACCTACTCGACTAATTATAACATATGATAGCAAAACCAGGTGAAAATTCCACCATGAGGACTAATGCAATAGTTAGATTTCTAAATAAATCTACCTAAAAAATGTGACTGTTAAAAAAAAAATTTGTTAATATCATTTTTGTGGGTTAAAAAAGATATTGTGAACCCTACTTCCAGATAATAACCGAAAATTTCTTTAAATTTATTAAAAATATCAAGGTAACTTGTTAAAAAATACCTAGAGGATTAAAAGGCTGCATAAGGTCTGGCTGATTGATAGTAGTATCATTAATGGCAGATATCGTGCTCATTATTGGATAACTTGGAATAGTCGTTGCTTGAGAAATCATTGGTGATGTTATAGATGCATTTGCATTGGTCGGAGTGACACTGGGCGGTGGGGTTGGTACTGACACTGAGGGAGTGGGTGGATTTGATGGAGTTGATGGTGGTGGTGTTGTCTTTTTCTTCATTGGTGCTGCTGTTGCTAAAGCAGTTGGTCTCGACGGTTGAGCTGGCATTGATGTATGACTTGATATTGCCATTCCTTGACTCCCAGTTACTGTAGTAACTCCTCCGACTGCTGGTTGATTACCACCTAGCAATTAATTCATAAATCATGGTAAAATTCCATTTTTTTTTTTTTTTTTTTTTTTTTTTTTTTCGTTGAATAAAAATTGATATAGATAAAAATTTTAATTTTAGACAATAAATAATATATCAACTACATATAACGCGTACCATGATCGATGGGCATTGCATTAGGTTGTGTTACTATAGGTTTTGTAACTGGTCCCGTGGAGTTTGGTGGTTGATTATTCATAAGGAGATTTCCCGTATGATTTACAGATGACAATTGCTAAAAAAAAAAAATTATATTCCTTAGAGTCTAAATTTAATTTTTTAATGAAATTAAGATGTTTAAATACATTAAAACGTCATCTAAAAAGTAATAAAAAAATATCCAGTGACACTAAAAAATTGTAGGAAAAATAACATCAAAAAATGTATCTCTATTTTCATAATGATACTAAGATCAGTAGTCAATATTATTAAGAGAATTAGAAAAATTTTGTTTCCAGGATAGTCATATAATAAAATAGGTTTTTTTAAATGAAATTTAGTGTCATTGCAAAGGTCTTGATTTGAATTTGAGCCTTTTCAAGGTTTCATTTCATTCTCACCGATAGTGAATTTATTATGATAAGTATTTAGGCTGCATTCGAAAACGCTCTATCTCTAGATACATAATTAAGAAATGACCTTTTATCTTGCGAAATATTGACATTTTTAAAGATATAAGCTCATCATGATGTCACACTCATCGAGACCTTTGATTTGAGTACCCACATCAATTTTTCATATATTTTATATATTTATATATGAAAAATATATCAAAATGCATGTGGGTACTCAAATGAAAGATCTTGATGTGTGTAACATCTGGATGAGCTTATTTTATCTTTAGAAACGTCAATATTTAAGAAAGTACAGTGCAATTTAACAAAAGTTATTATTTAAAAAAGCAAAATTTTAATTTTTTATAGTTTACAAGTCACGGCAGTCATATAGTGACGGCAAGGTTGCTAGCTTTTTTAAATTTTCACATAGAATTTTTTTTCAATTTTGATTTGTATGTTAAAAACATTCTAAATATTATCAGATGTCTGTTAATTTCCGCATTATTGTCCATCACAGTTTAGTGGATTAGATTAAAGTCTAAAAATGTTTTGATTTCTTGTTGCGATCTTGTTTATGGTATAATAGTTTATTAAAGTCAATATAGTTGCGTAAGTAATAAGGTAAAAGACCTTATTAGTGGCACCTTTAACCCCTATTAGTGGCACTTTTTCTTTCAATGAAAAAATATTCTACTTGGAATAAAAATTAAAAATTTTTTAAGATCTAAAGGTCTTATAGATTATAAATAATATATTCATTATTGAAATTAATGATTTCATTAATTGAATAAGTACCAAAATCAAAGAATGTGTCAGTAATGGGGTCCCCGCCACTAATGGGGTCTTTTACCCTATATTATTAGTGAACTAACGAAGTTAGTTAATTTGCTTCTTAACAACACAGAAATATTTTCTCTAAAAACTATTTACTGTCAGACAATCCAGTCTTAACTAAACAATTAGTTAGCATTGAAATAATAATTTTACTGAAACTTTACTGAAGCAATATCTTGTTATTAAAGCACAAGCAGGTTAAAAGAACAAAATTTGTTTTATATATTAAAATAAACAACTATAATAGATATAAACCAAAAATTATTATTGAAGAAGTTTTCTTTCTTATTTATAACTACTGTGATAATAGAGAAAAAAATTTATATTAATGGTATTATTTGTCAGTAATAAAAAACACACTTTTTAAAGATAAAATTATTGAATAATAAAAAATATAGATTATTTCAAAAACTTATTCGTTTTTTTTTTTTATTTTCAATTTTTTAATAGGAAGTTAAAAAAATACTCAACATAAAAATCTAGGTTCTAAAATCCAACAATAGTTCTTTAATAATTCAGATAAATTCTATTCACATGTTTGCACATTTTACATTTCGCAAAATTTTTCAATATTGAAAATTTCAACCTATAATATCTCTATCAAAAATATCATACTACTTTTTACGCAAAACAAATAATAGCTAGTCCAAAAAACAATTCAATAATTATTGACAGAAATAACTTTCAAAAGCTGAAGTTGAGATTTATATGATTATTCATAATGTGAAAATGTAAATATTTATTCGTAAAAAAATGTATATTTCCTTTTTTACTTAATATGATTAACGTTATAGTTACTTGATTTGAATACTTTTAATAAAGGTATTATAATTAGTAGATTAAGTTAAAAAATAGTTTTTGAATTAGATTCTAAACAGATTATAATGAGGCACACTTTTTCTTCAGGCTATTATCTACACTAATATTATAAAGATGAAATATTTGATTGTTTGTTTGCTTGCATTGAATAGGCTCCGAAATTACTGAACCGATTTGAAAAATTCTTTCACTGTTGGGAAGCTACACTATACCCGGGTGACGTAGGCTATATTATATAATAATTAATTTTGAAATTTATTTTAAATACCCGTGCAAAGCCGGGGCGGACTGCTAGTCTTGAATAAGTTTGAAAATAAGCAAAATCTTTCGATTAGTTTAAAAATGGTGAATGTTAGAAATTTTAAAAATACTACAAAAAGTATCAATCTTTGAATTTAAAAATGATTATAAGTGTTAAGAAATCACGATACAATCAGAAATTAGACTGCATCAAATTTTTTATGTTACTTTTAGAGCTAAGAATTAACAGACTCGAGGACAATTACATATTCAATAGTTTAAACTGAAGCTTATTTCATAAACTATAACATGCATTTTATAAAATTTAGATATGATGTGTTATGCAAAAATTTTATAAATTTTTGCTAATTTTAAACGCTGTAAAAAAAATTTTAAAATGAATAGAAAGAAAAATAAGATAGCGAAAACTGAAGCTAATTACATTAAGGAGGTCCTTTCGCCATCAATGTTAAATAAAAAATATTAGATCATGCATAAAATTCTAGTGAAGTTTAATTTATTCTTCACCGTGCATATTTTTGAAAAAAAAATTTCTAAAAATGTTAGTATTTTTTCCGAGTCTTACGAGAAAGTCAGACCTTAACAACTTTCTCGAATTATGGCATTAACCACCGATTAGATGGGGTAAAAAAAACTCAAAATAAGGTTTCCGAAATATTCAGGTTTCATTTTTTGCAATAAAATATATAGGTTGCCGTGGAATTTATAGAGAAATTATAATTATAAAATCACAGAAAATTTTGGAGTAACCTACATTTAAATGGCGTCAGAACATTTGGCAACGTTGTGTAGCGCGCGAGCTTCAGACCATTCAATAAATTCAAACTAAACTTTAACGCGCTTATGTTTTTCATACATACTATTAGTTAATTTATTGTTAACAAATTTTCATATTTTATAATTGAAAAATAAAATAATAATTAAAAAATTCTAGCATTCCTGCCGTGAGACATTAGAATGTTACGGTTTTGTGACTTATCATTTTTAATTAATTTATTTATTTACATTGACTGCAAAAGTTAAGCATGGTTAAAGTTATATTGTGCAAATAAAAATGTAAACAACCGAAATAAAGCGTTGCCAAATCACGGACTGGTTACTAACAGCTGATTTACAAGAGTCAAATTAATTTTTGTATTTAACTATTTTTTTTTTTTAATTTTCAAAATTTCAACGATTAATGCCTCATATACTATTTATTTTTTAATTTTAGGAATTTTTATGGGTTTTTTTATTTTAATTTATCGAATATTGACTACTACAGTTGTTGTGACTCAACTGGAGCGAAAGGACTTTCTTAATTACACAATAAAATTAACATAACTAACTTATTATTATTAATGGGTTTAAAGTTATTATGAAAAAACTCGAAAATATTTTAATTTTATCAAAATCAAAAAATTTTTCAATCACCCACAACTTTTTAACTAATGGACGAATTTGGCTTATTTTTCAACTTTACTGCAACATGCAGATTTACAAAACTATCTTCCCAATAATTTTGCTTTAAATGATTGAAAATTTGAAAATTTGAAAATTTAGAATATATACTGTACTCCATAAATGATGAGAGTTAATTTATCGAAAAATCATAAAAAATCCATGCTTATTTTTGTAGATGAAGTTATTATTATCATTTTTAATATTTTTACTTTATAATTTAAACTTTTTTTTTTTTTTTCAGGGAGGCTTTGCGCGATGACCCTAACTTGGTACCGGAATTCACCTCCACATTTTTAATAAAAAATAGTATCAAAAATTTGTGTGATGTTGAGCCTCTATTTCGGTGCTCTCTGACACAATTTTATGATAATTTGAGAAGAAATAATCGTTTACTGATTTTTTTTTCTTTTTCATTTTTTATCTAGTAATTTTATCCTGAGACGAATTTTTTTTTTCTGTAGAAATAGTCAATATACACTACCGACGAAAAATTTCCGGACAGATTCTTGTTTACTTTTTAATCTAAATATCGACGGTCTAATTAACAATTGGTCTAACTCCTTATTTTTTAGAGGGTGAATTTTTAACATTTTGATGTAGCAATAATCTAATTATAAATTAGTTAAATGATCTAAATCAAAATATTATACCTCTATTAGATATTAAATTGTTTTTTAAAGTGACATTACATTTTGAGCTAATTGTTTTTCCGTACAAATGGAAGATTCTCTAAAGTGAAGTTAGACAATTTGCTAATTAGAACGTCGATACGACACATAAATACATTAACTTGATCTATAACGAAAATTCCATGTTAGTTTACAAATGTGTACGATCGTGTCTTTAATTTTCTTCTTGATTTATTTTACTTTTAATAATTGTTTTAATAAATTTTCATCTTGTGCGGAAACTTTCTGTCGGCACTTCATATACCAAACAAATGATTTTGTGTACACAACAAAATATATTATTTTTTGTATTGTCCCCCAAGGGAAAAAAGAAGAAAAGAAAAGAAGATAGATTCTAATGAAACTAGGATCAAAAGTTTGACGAGGATACTAAATAATTGATACACACAATATACAAATAGGGTTTTTACAGTAACCTATCAATATGTAATTATAACAAACAAATAGATGTCTTAATTTTGGCTACTTACTAAAATAAAGAAAATATAATTAGGTTTAAATAAATCCATAATGTTATTAACAATTTAGATATTAAGCAGATTAATCAATTAAAAAAAAAAAATCTATGTGACATCGTTCTAAGTTTGAATTCATGATGTTTCACTCAGCGTTGAGCGTGATATTTTTCATGCCAAACTTTGATGTTTTTTAATGTTCATAAGAAAATTAATAAAATTTTCAACGTTTTGCTAAGGTTGTAAATTTTAAAAAATTTAAGAAGCCACTGTTTTAGAGTTTATTTTTGAAAATTAAGTTTTGATCAGGTCAACATGTTCAGACTCTAAAAAGCTACTCCGATAACACAAAACATGTATATATTTACTCAATTAAAATTTTTTTCAAAACTAAGGCTGTATCAATTAGGTATTTTTGAAAAATTAGGAGAACAACACTTCTAAAACATTATTTTTTCGATTGACTTTGATATTACTTTATCCATTAATTCTTAAGCCGAAACAGCTCTACTTTTAAAAAAATTAAGTTGAATATCCCAAACGTCGTTAAAAATGTATGACTCCAATGTTAAATCTTGATTATTTTGATTTTATGAACATTTCGATTATCGCAGAAAAAAATGTTTCAAGTTCTTAAATTTTGAAAAAATAAAAGAGGGTAAAAGACCCCATTAGTGGCGGGGACTCCATTACTGACACTTTCTTTGATTTTGGTACTTATTCAATTAATTAAATCACTAATTTCAATAATAAATATATTATTTATAATCTTAATAAGACCTTTTCATCAAAAAAATTTGTAATTTTTATTCCAAGTAGAACATTTTTTCATTGAAAGAAAAAGTGCCACTAATGGGGGTTAAAGGTGCCACTAATGGGGTCTTTTACCTTAGTAATATTTAAAAATGTACATAAAATTAACAGATAAAATTTTCTGTTATTTAATTGGTTAGAAAAAACAGTTAACAGATACCAAAAATATAAAAAAGAAAATTTTTTCACTTTACCTGGGTAATGTTGAGGTTTGAAGACGGAGCAGCATTAGCTGTTTTTTTAGTTTTCTTCCGCGGTGGACGATTAGACGAATTTCCTGGAAATTAACGTGATACTCGTCGTAGATAAATATCTCAATTTAAAAATAACTTAAAACAAAAATTTCTAATGATATTTTTGTAACCTAATGAGCTAATAAAGTGCAGATTATTCTAGAGGATACCAACAAAGAAAATTGTAAATTATCTCAAAACTTGGTTAATAAATAAGTTATTTATTGAAAAACGTAAAAATTAAACAATATTAGATGCACATTTTTTTTACTGATAGATTTTTATTATTCATATACTTATATTATAATTGTATCACTGTGTACAACGTTGTTTTAATTTATATATCTCAATCGTATGCTCCTTTTTTATGGACTTTCATCTCAATTTTTACTCATTTTAACATATCTTTTTGTTTTTCAATTAATTAATTAATTTTAATATTTATATTTATATTAAAAAAAAAAAAAAATTCATGCGCAAAAAACATTTTGCCTTCACTTAATCATTTTCATCTTTAGTTCATTCTACAATATTATTATTATTATTATTATTATTATAACTTTATTCATTTTATTTCAATTAAATTTTAATTAAAACAATTCAGCGAAAAAATTGCGTGTGCATACAAATATGTATACGCGTACACAATTATATTACATTCATCCGTAAAATCATTTTTTAATTAATTACACACATAAAATTCACACCCACACATAATTACTTTATTTATTTTTTTTTTTAGACATGTTAAAGTTTAAAGGTATTTTTATATTTTTTAAAATGATAATTCCTTTTACTTAATCTTTGTCTTGGTTTATTTGTTTGTTGCTTTATAATTTTTTTGCTTTCTAAATAACTTTAATATGAATAGTATAATAACGCGTACGTCTATTTACTTTTTAATTTCATCTTTTATTTGTGTTTGTTATCGTACAGTAATTCTTACAAATGATCGGCTAGAAAAAAAAGCAACTCCAAATCCTCGACATTTTATTTATTATTTAACTTGAGTTTTTTTGTTTTAATTGGTCAGCGTATGATGTTTTGTTCATTTTATTGTTTCATACTAAACTAATTGTTATTAAAATAAAAATAATAGCATAACGAAATTCGAATAAGTGCTATGATTGCAAAAAATAATTTGATTCAATTAATATACTGACAATTATAAGAACAATGTTTTTCTTTTTTAAAGTGCAAAATATATAATATAATGGTATAATATTAAATATTTATCCAGACAATTAGTTAGCACAACTCTGAGATCGATTATTATGTCTTGTTCGATGCTTTTCATTCATTCGTGTAGTTATTTTCAATAAATTCCATTTTTTTTCTTTTTAATAATTATTTATATTCTCCTATTATTTAATAAACAACGAACAAGATTATATATATGTTGTTTCTTAAACATAAATCATATAACGAGTTCAAATCAATAATCAAATAAGGATCTGATTGCGCGTCGAGATCTATACAGTACATTATTCTTCAAACATTTTTTAGAGATAACAAATTATCAAAAAATTTAATGTTTTTCTATTCTGTGTATTCTTCACATAATGACTTTGTCGCTCAGATTTCTTTTTTCAATGAGAAATCATAATTGCTACATTAGTTTCATTTTGTTTTTAGTGAATTATTAATATTCTTACTATTAATACTTAATGATACAATTTTATTATTTCATTTAATCATTTATGCTTTTTTTTTTATTTTTTCTTTCTTTTTCTTTACTATGTACAAAACACTCATGAACCATTCCGGTCAATACCACTCGTGATAGGACGTACAAAAATGAATTTTTGTACAGACGTTCTAACAGTATTGTTTTCAGTAATTAGCATTCGTATGAATATAAATAAAACTTTAATTTTCTTATTAGTGATCTGATAAAGCAATAAAAAAAAACAGTAAAAGAAAGATAGGTAATTTAATTAAGTAATTTATAACTTGTAAAACTTATTTAAAAAAAAGGAAGAATATAGTTACTTTAAGAAGAAATTGTTTAAATAATAAACGTAGATGTTACTGTACACATGAAAAATTATCCAGCAAACAATTTGGAAGGCAATGTGAATAGTAATTAAATGCCCTATACTTGTTCCTAGGCTAATTATGATAATCGTTAATGAATAACCCTATCTAAGCTAAATACTAATAATTTCTTCATTTATTTTCATTTTTAATTATTCTCGTAAACCTTTATAAATAATATTTATTAATTTTTTTTTACCTATATTTGTTCTTTATAAAAAGAAAAATAATAATTATTAAACAAGTTATAATTGATCACAAAAAATTAATATTTTTTTAGATACTATAGAACACTATATCGTTAAGATTACTTTATAAAATTCAAATTGCATTATTTTTTTTGTTCAATTTTGAAATTATTTAAGTACGTATGTAGTAATAAAAATTTATAATAATTAAACTAATAATTTCCAAAAAAAATACTTGAAACTAGTCATTAAAATAGTTATAAATATACAAATAATAGCGACGATAATAATGATAATAATAACGTTAGTAATAATAACAATAGTAATTATAATAATAATAATAATAATAATAATAATAGTATTGGTAAGTGATAATAATAAAAGTATTATATTCACTCAGAGTGCAGAATTAATTCACTCATGTCTTGTAATTTTTTTTTAAATTTAATAATAATAACTATTAATTTACATGAACTATTATTTTTCTTGTCATTGTCTGTCATTACGGTTCTTTAACTATCTAATATTTTTAATGTATTTCAAGTAGAATTAACATGATTTGCAAATTAAAGATAATAAAAGTATAATAATTAAGCCAACATTTAAAATAAAAATTATCAAAGACATTTAATTTCATTATTTAACTATCATGTACTGAGTAAAATTTGTTTAAAACATACTAATTTTCATTTATATTATTTTAATAAATAATTAGACACATTATGCAAAAATAAAATATTATAACTGTTACATTAATTCGTTATTTAACATTAGAAGAAATTAAAAAAAAAAAAAACATTTTTAATTAAAAATTGCAAATATTTACATTAGCTGTGGAACTTATATCCTCGAGTGGTATTGTTGGATAAATAATAAAAATTAATCAATTAATTTATTTATATTGATTAATGCGACCATTTTTAAAAAATTTAATTTGTAAACTAGTATTCATATATTGAAGGCATGTAAAACCATACCAATCTAATTAATCATTGTTATTTTAACAATATTCACAATTTCATCAGACAAAAAAATTGCGATGATAAACAAAATTTAAACAATTTTTTTCCGTTTGTTTTTTTTTTTTTTTTACATTATTACGTGATTAAACGATTATTTAGTTAGAAAATTGAACAAAAATCAATAAATAGCATGACGAAATAATAGTAGACCGATTAAAAAAAAGCTTAGCGGAGTGCAAACAATGTGTTTGGAGGCCGTACGCCTTTTTCATGTACATAATATATTGATGTTTATATATTTTTTATTTTGTTACTTATCAAGTTAACTTTTTTGATCTCTCATAGTTTCATTACTCATCTTCATTATCACTTTGTTTCTCGTTGTATGATCCATGACTTCGATCCATGCGGTAACTTCATTTATAATAAACATAATTCAATTTCCTTTCACATTTTATTTTCAATTGTTTTAAATCACATTTTGTTTTTCGTCTGATTTGGATAAAAAATGTTCGTTATAAATTAATGATTTTTCAAATCATCTTCTAATACATCTGGGATTACTGAATAGCTATTGTGCGATAAATTAACGAAGATGCTTAAGTGAGTAAATCGAGTAGTTATCCGAAGATTTAAAATTTTTTTTTAAATTGAAGAACGATGCTACAATGCGCCGATCAGAAAAAAAAATCCAGCCACCAATACACATTGTCTGCATTTTATTCTTTTCTTGTTTTTATTATGGCATTGTCAATGTTTTGAATTTATTTATTTTTTTGATTTTATAAACTATAATAATCGTACTCGAATCAAGATGCACATACACTGCCGTGCTGATTGTCTGTTGACATTATCAACTTTTTGAAAGTTAATTTGTTCAATATATTATTTTATTTATATCTCATTCTATTATTTTTATTAATAAAATTTAATTTAATTCCTACTATTTTTGGTTTTCGATATATCTGTTTTTCATTTTTTCGCTTTTTTCATTCTGTCTTCCGCATCGAGACTTACATTCTTCTTTCCGCGCTTTTTTCAATCACCCAAGTGACTTTTTAATTAAAACGACCATTTAAAACCAAATGATACAAAATAAACGAACTGATGTAAAAAAAATTCACATTTTCGAACATTTAAAACAAACACATTTACGTACAAATTAATAAATATTTATAATTTTTAAATTAAAATTCTTTTTACCGTAGTCTAGTTATTAAAATTTATTTAAACCTATACAACACCAAAAGATGATTCAATTTATTTAATTTTATTGCTACAATTAAACTTGTAATTAATTGCTATGCTAAAATTGGAACAATAATGATAATTTCACTTTTCTACACTAGCTTTTCGAAGAAAAAATAATGCAGCATTAAAATTAAATACTTTGAGAAAAAAATAATAAAAAATAAATAAAATTTATTTCTGTTTACTTGCATTTCATGCGATGAATTTTTTTTTTGTAGATTAAGGCAAAAGAATTAACCATTTAGTAATTTTTTTTTTTTTTTTTTTCCAAATTAACGGATTGCGCGCATAAATATAAGAAGCTGGTATGACATATGGTATCCTCTAAACACAGTCTGCACTCCACTAGCTCACCTGCTCAGCATAATTGCTTTCTTGTTATATTTTTTACATAGATATATTTAGTGATCTATGTATATTTAATAAATATATATATATGATTATATATTTATATATATTTTTTACTCATAAAATAAACGAAAAAAAATTGTATTTAATCTAGGTTTGTGTAAAAAATATCAAGTTCCAAATCTTGTGTCAAAAGTTTATAATTCGACTGTTTATTAACTATTACTACAACAGATTTCTCTAGTATTACTTATTTACTTCCTTCATTATTAGAGTAGTTAACTATATGTATATAATCTATAGTATTTCGTATTGATTTGTATTTACAATAAAAATTAATAAATTATTTAGTAAAATATAAAAATTTGACACTAGATTTATACTTGCATGTAGACATGGTAAATTTATTTCTTTCAACAACCAACAACACAATTTCAATAAATATTATATAATTATTGATATTTTTTAAATTTGAGAAGTTATTTGCGATAGTTTTTGTGCATTGATTATTAATCAAAAGTTATTTGTTTATTCTGCTGTCAAAGTAAATAATGTTTATAAGTCTAAGTTCTTAAAAAATCAACATAGTAAATTGATTTCATTGATGAACACACGAGAAAAAAATATACACTGTCAATTATTAACTGTAATTATAATATTATATGATTAAAAAAAATGAGATAATTGTTTATTTATGTGATGAAGACGTAGTTATTATCAAAATATAAAAAAATATCACTTCAACAAGAAAAATAATTGACAAGCATAGTACAAACAATTTTTTTTTGTTTGTTGAAACTATAGATTTATAAGCTATTTATATTGGAAGTTTGTATATTATTTTTGTCTTTATTTTCTTATAAAATTAGAATAAAAAATTGACAATCAAACAAATAAGTGAAATTCAATAATTGAAAACTAGTCTTATAGAGAAAATTTAAAATGCTTGTCAATTTTGTAGTAAATATTTCATAAAAAAATATTTATTATATACTGAATTATTTATAAATCTTGTAAAAACACGATCAATTTAATATTGATATTTTAAAAACAACTATTAATATTGGAAAACTTGATATAACTGACAAGACAATAATCGCAAATAGCCTCGCAAAATTGAAAAAATTGCGTCATAAATTGTCAGTTCAATTTTTCTTATATGCACGTTAGCAATTCAATGATAAAAATTTTAGTTAGCTTAGTTAATTAATTAATTTGTTCCCAACATGAGGGTCGTAAATAATTTGCAACAGTTACAAGACGTATTATATCTAACCTGCTTCACTGTCGCTCGAATCACTCGAACTCGATGATAACGAACTACTACTGGAATCACTGTCACTGCTACTACTGCTTGACGCTGACAGCCTTGATGGTCCACTCGTTCCTGCTGAACCAACTACATCTACTGATTTACTGTTGTCTTCTGTGAACAAAATTAATACATATTTATTTAGTATATCTTTTTTTTTCCACACAAATATAACAAACATTTTTATTCAAACCAACCTTTTTTAGTAGCTTTCTTTACATTGCCTAATTGCCCAGTGACATCTTGTAATCTTTTTTCCAACTCTTGTTTTCTTTCAGCCATTTGTTCGTCTTTAGATTTTCCACTAACTTTTTTATCTGAATAAATAATTAATATTTCATATATTGAGAGAACAATAAATCAACAGTAATAAATTGATGAAGCAAAAATGTAAACTTACGAATTTTTTTTCTTAAGCACGAAGCAACGTAGCTTTCCAACTCTCTCAGTGTTGAGGGTTTAAGAGTTTCAAAATCAATTTCGATTTCATCGGGATTTGAATCTCTTAACGAAGGCTCTCGAGATTGAATAATATGTACTACACGCCCTAACTTATCACCTACAATAATAATTTACGTGCATAAAAATATGTATTAGGGAAAATTAATAGTAATGACAATAATAACAATAAATAATAATAATAAAAATAATAAAAGAGTATTTTATTATTATTTTTTAAGCCAACTAACCCGATCCACTTAGAGACTATTCAATTTTTATTTATTAATTATTTTCACCACAACATTGTCGGTATGAGCACTCATACTATCCTGGGGTGAATATATAATACTTAAAAATTTTGATTTTGAAGATAATTTCAATTGGGATTATATAAAGATGTTATTTTTTACCCAGTGAAACTTTTTTCAGTAACCGAAAAAATAATTCGGAACGCTCACTGAGTAAAAAATAACATCTTTATTAGGGTGTGCCAAAATGTAACTTCGGTGGAAAATCTTTAAAAATTCAAATTTTGAGTTCCGCTTTTAACAGCAGCTGTGTTTGGGCATTTCCTGAGATATTTCGGGATGAGAGGATTTATTTGATGTTCATAGAATTTTTAACAGGAGATTTAATTGGGCATTTCCGGCCAAATTTTGAATTTTCAGCGTCTCACCCCAAAATATCTCAGGAAATGCCGAAACACAGTCTCTGTTAAAAGTCTAACTCAAAATTCCAATTTTAAAAGGTTCTCCACGAAAGTTACATTTTGGCAAACTCTAATCTTTATATAATTCCAATTAAAATTGTCTTCAAATTCAAAATTTTTAAGTATTATTTATTCACCCGAGGATGGTATTAGTGCTCAAACCAATAATATTGTGGTGAAAATAATTAGTAAATAAAAATTGAATAGTCTCTAAGTGGATCGGGTAAGTTGGCTTAAAAAATAATAATAATAAAATCCTCTTTAATAAGTAAAATCACCGATCTTAGTAATAATTCTAAAATAATAATAATAATAATAATAATAATAATAATCCACAATATTTAAGTATTAACTTTTGAACATACCAGGCAGTTTATTAATATCCAAACTGAGCTGTCGTTTTTCGTCATAAGACATAGGTTTAGCATTATCCTCATCCTCAGAGTCGAACGGCATTGGAGGGGGTTGATTAGCAGCATTCTTCTTCTTATTGCTAGTGGACCTACTATTCGTTTTCGGTCGTTTGCTAGCAGCATTAGTGGCAGCGGACTTCCCAGGACCTCGAGTTTTACCTTTCGGTTTAACAGTTGCTGCCGCGGCAGCACCAGGATGAGCTTTATTAGGACCAACAGCTAAAGCCGGATGATGATCACCAGGCAAACCCATACCAACACCTACGGGCAAACCACTAGGCATTTTAAGATCACCCGCTCCCATTGCAACACTAGCTATACTTGCGCCAACACTATCCGAAACATTTTGCATACCAACACTAGGTTTCATAAGTTCCTTCATGGCACCACTGTGACTTCCAACAAGTCCTGGAGTTTTATTACTCATAGGCTTCGACTTAGGTTTCTCCAATTTACTTTTTTTGCTTTTCTTTTTACCGGACTCTTCAACCACCTTTTTTATTTTTTCTTGCATTGCCTTTAATTCTTGTTGAAGAGCAAGAAGTTTTTGGGTACGCTCTTCCTCGGAATCCTCGGAACCCGATGATGATTCAGAACCTGAACTACTTCCGCTACTGCTACTATGAGTTACTGCTGCCATTCCTCCCACAGGCTCATCAGGAATTTTAGCATACCTAAATTCATTTTATTATTTGTTAAAACACTGTCTTTTTTATCAATTCATTATATTAAATGTAATAGTTACAAAAATCAAGTTTAAATTTATTAACCTCATTTCGAAGACATCCTGAAGTTTTCTAGCCATTGCCACAACATCGTGGTCAGGAGGATTGTACTTGTAACAATTGGTGAAGATAAGCCGTACATCACAGGCAAATTCTTGAGCCGTTTTGTACTCTCGGCTGTCCATTTTCGTCTGAATATCCAATTATTGTTTATTTTTTTGTTTACTCAATTAAAAAAAAGTTAAGTAATTCATTTTGCTTTTAATTAAAACAAAAAAAAATACTTTTCTTTTCATCATCAAATAATGTTAATGAATGCTGAAATTACCTTTACAGTACCCAAGTCCATGGGTTTTTTGATAATATCGTGGTAATCATGAAGGCCCAATAGTTCGGCATCTACGGGCTTGTAAAATGGCCAGGCATAGCCCTAATAAAAAAATTGAAAAAATTCTGATAGTAAAACAAATTTACTCTATTTACAGATGTAAAAAAAAAATTCAATAAAGTAAAAAAATGAAAAAAAAAAAAAGATTACCGAATGTCTCTTAGAGAATAATTCTTTAAGAATTTCATTGCAAGACTTTAGGGCATCCGAGAGTTTTTCTTTTGATTTACCGCCGACATGTTGTGGCTAAAAGATAAAAAATATATTTATATTATAATTAACATACATTATCAAAAACTTAGATTTAGTTAGTTTTAGCTTCTCTAAATTTTGTTTTTAGGCGAATGATTATTATTCATCAAATGATTTTAAAAATAAATCGTAAAAAAAAAAAAAAAAAATTGATTTTAATTAATATTAAAAAAAATTTTAATGATAAATAATCAAAATATATAAAATTTGAAATGAAGAAAAACAATAAATAAAAAATAAAAATCACTTTAAGCCACAAACAACACAAATGAAATATAATGCATTCTTGATGCTATTGTTGATGATAAATTGTATGAGTACCTGTTGGGCCATCACCCCGATAAGGGGCATGTTGGCCTGATGGAATGGCACAAGGCCGTCTTCCGCTTGCCTCGACGGCTGAAACAGCCCCATCATCAACCCTCTGTTAGTATGTTAATGCAATGATATACATGCAAGCGTCAAGGACATCTTTAAATCATTATCACAACGAACAAAGTTTCTTTTTAATTTTTGCAACCGATTTTTTTTTTTTTTTTTTTTTTTTCAATGAAATTACCAAGATTGAATTTTGACCGAAAATACAACAATTACAAATTTTTAACTCGAAATAATTTCATGCTATTTAGAAATATCAATAAAATTTTGTTGTTTAAATTTATAAAATTATCAAGTTGTTGAATTTGACGATTAAAAAAACTTGAAAAATCTTTAATGATAATTTAAAAAACCGAGTTTTTTTTTCTTTATCAAGATCAGAAAAATAAAGAAAAAATTAAATTTGAAAAATATTTTCATGGGGTTTACATACAAAGCACACTAATTATTAAAATGATTTAAAAATATAATAAAATAATAGCTACCTTTTTGATCTGTCTGCCTGATTCTCTTCTCGTAGGAAGTTTAGCATTTTTAGATTCCATGGGTTGATACATGGGTTCAAAAGAATTAGCGGTGGGTGTCGTCGTATCAGCCTTTCTCTTCACCCCCTTTTTGACTTTAGCAGGCTGCGAAGGGGGCATTACTGTAGGTGCAGTTGGAACTTGTGGAGGAGCAGGTACAGCAGTAGCTGCTTGGGGATCTAACGCTGGTTGAGCGTGATATCCACTGGGTGGAGGAACTACTTGTTGCGGTAAAGAGTTATGAGTAGCCATTGAGGTGACGCTTATACTAGCTGGAGGTGCGATTGTAGTTGTATTGGTACTTCCAGGTACAGATACTGGTGCTTGAGTACCGAGAGGTGGTATTGGCAAGACACCAGTGGTTCCTGCTGTTGTAGCAGCAGGTGGAAGATTGTTTGGTACACTAGAACTGACTGTCGCCGCTCCAGAGGAAGGTCGACCTCGACCAACTCCCGGTGTCACTCCTGGAGTACCACCGATCAAAGGGGCACCAACTCTTGCCTTTTTTCCTTTTGGTCCTTTCGGGAGAGGAGGTTCGAGTTCCACTTCTTCTCTTGGCATTTGTGCAACCTAAAATTATAGATTTTTTTTTAATTAAATAATTAATTAATGTCTCTTTATACTTTACTGCTTTTAAATAATAAAATATTGAATATCAACAAATTCTATACCTTTGTGAGAAATAATTTCTCGAGTGCTTGAGCCATTACTACAACATCCTCTCCGGGTTTGTTGTAGACATAGCAATTGGTAAACATAGTATTGAAGTCCTGAATACATTCTCGTGCAGACCAATAATACGTATTTTCTAAACGTTTCTTGATAGTACCCAAATCCATCGGTTCTTTTATGATTTTGTGGTAATCCTGATGGAAATTAATTTCAGAAAAAAAATAAATAAAAATCAATTTTTTTTTGTAAAAAAAATAATTAATTAGTATAAAGTAACTTACGGGTAAGTTGAGTTTCTTCGCATCGACAGGTTGCTGAAAAGGCCAAGCGAACGTATGCTTCCATACTGGCTTCAGTACTCCTTTTGACAAGAACTGAAGCTGATTAGTGATTCGTCCTGGACGAGTTGGTGGAGGTACAACTGGTGGTTGGACTACGCCATTTACTGGCTCTACTGCGGGCTCTTCACGTGGTGGTGGCGTTCTTGCTGGTAACGGTTGTGATCCTGGTGTTCGTCCAGGTGCACTTGTCTGTATTTTTTCAAGTAATCACGTAAGTTGTAAGTACATAAAAAAAGTTTTACTTTAAGCTTCAATCAATAATAAAAGGTTAAATTAAACACGTGCTCTATTACAAAATCAAATAAAAGTGAAATGAGAAATGCCCATTAAACCTAATTTTTGTAAAAATAAGCATGAAATTTAATGAATAACATATTTAATGAAAAAGGCGAGTAAATTTTTAGAATTTTAATGCTGATTATTCAAATTTAGATGTGCGTTGCTATGAAAAATTACCAGTTCTTCTTAATACTACTAAACAATAGTAAAATAATACGAGTGCTTGTGCAAATAAATTTTTACCAAATCATACTTAAAAGAGTGAATGGCAGTAAAAAAAACAACTACCACCGATAATTAATAAATCATTGGAATTTCTATGTTCAACAATGATTCTCACCTTCGGTATATTACACAGCCTTTCTCGCTCTTCCACATCTAACTGTAATTTACAGATTTATCGATTATAAGTCAAACTTTAACATATTAACAATGCTTATAGTACATTTATTTATTTCATATCACGTTTTTTTATGCTTTATAAAAACTAGAGCAATGTGTCCAATAATATATGTTACAAAAAAAAAGTTTTAGCAGAAATAACGGATAACTAATTCAATTTTTATGCTACAAAAATGTTGAGTTGGTGAAGGATAATGATATTCAACTATTCATATACGAAAAAATTTATATAAAACACCGTCAAGAGTTAATTTAAAGTTCAAAATATTAAATCTAGGTACAGAGTAGCATGATCACTCAGGTTAATTAAAATGTTTCTGTAAACTACGGAGTTTCTATTAAATAAAAAATTAGCCAAAATATATTGGATGAACAAGGTCCGATGAATGATGGAAAAATTATATACATTTACAACTAAAATGTTAAATGGAGTTAACATTTTGGTATTAAATTTACAATCTTTCGTTAAGACAATATTTTTCAAACTCCAATAATATTTTTTTTTTCTCTATAAAAATTAAAAATGACTCACAGAAACAGTATCTTAATTTTTAAACTTCTACAAAATAAAAAATTGAATTATATAATACAAATGCCAAATTTAACTACCGTGTTGTAAAACAAAGTTTCTCTTTACTAAGATCAAAACTATACTCCATTTATAAAATAAAAATAATTCATACATTTTTTTTGTACACTCCAATTTTTTAAAATTTAAAATAGATTCTACGCAAAAGGGTAAATTTTAGTGTGCTGTTTATTTACACTATATCTTGAGTAAATTTTATACCAAGAAAAAAAAACATCATAACAAATACTTACGGAGTTGTTTTGCGAGTTAGTATCCACCTGCTGCATGTTGACTTGATTTCTGAAACAAAAAAAGTCTATGATTAAGATGTGAAGAAAAAAAAAACGAAAAGATTTAATAATAATAATAATAATAATAATAATAACAGTCTTTAAAACTATAATAAAATACAGCATCAAACCAATTACAAACTAGTAAATATAACCTCAATATTTATCGACTAATATATGTATATAAATAAAAATCGCAAATAATCGGAATTAGTGATCCACGATTTAGAGATACACCTACCTTTCCGACATAAATGGTACATAAATGCTACGTGGCAGGTTACTGTCTTATGCTGATGCTTGATGCTACGAGGCTTCATCAACAACTGAGTTGACAATAATATATTTTGTTTTGAGCATGGTAGCTCGATATTTGCTTGCTGAGATGTTTTGGCTGCGACCAGGGAGATTGATGCCGAAGAGACATAACACTACTCAAGCCTACCGAAAGGTAGATACTTGGATGTCAGCCCTGTACCTTCATGTGATTCGCCGAGACTCCACCCAGGATTCGTAATACTAGCAACATCTGAATAACATAACAGGACCCCAAATTGTAACAACCGAAATCATAACCTCCTCTAATATTTTTAGTACAAACTTAATCAGGGGTAAAAAAAAATGTTTGTAAGTAAATAAAGTCACTATTTACAAACGCGTTACCTCTATGGTGACCGATCTCAATACTATTTTACTAAGCGAGTTTTAAATAATTATTTTGATCAAAATAATGGGAGAAATCAATAATTATTTTTATGTGAAAAATAAATTAGTAATAAAAAAATTAAAAAAAAAAAAAAAAAAAAAAAAAAAAAAAAAAAAAAGATATATATATATATATATATATATATATATATATATATATATATATATATATATAGAT